TTTTTTTAAATTCAAATTTAGTTTGAGTACGGAATACACTAGGTGGCGCTTTCTATATTGGTTGAATCTTATAACATTGCAAGCATATAGCGATTCCAGACACTGACTATAATTTTTTAAGTGACCATTGCATATATTGTTTGACTTTATCTGTCATTGAATTTTGTTAATGTAAACAATTCCATTATTTCACACAAACTATCAATTATATTAGGTTGAAGAGGAAAGCAGCGATGACCAGAAGAAACCAAAAACAAAGACCGTCAAAAAAACAATTTGGGATTGGGAGTTGATGAATGTAAACAAACCAATTTGGACGCGCAAACCCAATGAAATTAATGATGATGAATACAACGAATTCTACAAGAGTTTAACCAAAGACAACGATAAACCATTCACATACACACATTTTGTGGCCGAAGGAGAAGTAACATTTCGATCACTTTTATATATCCCAAAACTACAGCCTTCGGAGAGCTTCAATAAATACGGAACCCATTCGGAAAATATTAAACTGTACGTGCGCCGTGTGTTCATTACCGATGAATTTAACGACATCATGCCAAATTACCTTAATTTTATCCGTGGATTGGTCGATTCTGATGATCTACCGTTGAATGTTTCACGTGAAATGCTGCAGCAACACAAACTTATCAAGGTTATCAAGAAGAAACTTATTCGTAAAGTATTGGATATGATCAAAAAGATAAGCGCCGAAAATTACGTTGATTTCTGGAAGGAATATTCAACCAATATTAAATTGGGACTCATGGAAGATCCCAGCAATAGATCACGTCTTGGTAAATTGCTGCGTTTCCAATCTTCAGCCGGCAAAAATTTGACTTCATTAGAAGATTATGTGGGTCGTATGAAATCAAAACAATCGCACATTTTCTGGTTGGCCGGTGCCAATCGCGATGAAGTAGAAAACTCACCATTTGTCGAACGATTGCTTGCCCGTGGATATGAAGTTTTGTATATGGTGGAACCAGTTGATGAATACGCCATTTCATCATTGCCAGAATTTGGTGGAAAGAAATTCCAAAACATTGCCAAGGAAGGATTCACATTGGATTCATCTGATGATGCCAAGGCAAAATTAGAATCGTTAAACAAACAATTCGAACCACTCACGAAATGGATGAGCGAAGAAGCGCTGAAAGGACGTATCACCAAAGCTGTTATTTCCGAACGTTTGCGTAAATCGCCATGCGCTTTGGTCGCCAATGTCTTTGGATGGACCGGTATTTTTTTTTTGTGTTTTTGTTTTTTGATATTTTATGTGATTTCACTAAAATATTATTTTTCTTTCAACAGGTAACATGGAGCGCTTGGCAATGTCGAATGCTCATCAAAAAACCCATGATCCAATGCGTGAATACCATTTGTCACAGAAGAAGGCTTTGGAAATCAATCCAAGACATCCTCTTATTAAAGGTAACTAATTTGAAACGTTTTCCCTCTATGATAGTGGTGGAGGACAAATGAGTACTATAATTTCATTCCAATTTACAGAACTTTTGCGCCGTGTTGAAAACGAAGAGGCCGAATCTGCTAAGGAATTGGCATTGATTATGTTCCGTACAGCCACACTACGATCAGGATTCACCCTTCAAGAATCGAGCGATTTTGCTGATAGCGTGGAAAAATTAATGCGACAAACATTGGGCATTCTAGAAGATGAACAAGTTGAAGAAGAGGAAGATATTCCAACAGAAGATGAAGCTGCTTCAGAAGAAGACAAATCAGAAACCGATGATGATGATGCTGAGGGCACCAATGACAAAGAACATGACGAGCTATAAGCTCATTTCCACACCACCAATATCTAGATAATTTAGTAAAAAAACACGACGCCAATCGGCGTTACCTTCATCGCTTCTTCGATTTTCATTCAAATGGTGTGTTTGTGTGTGTGTGTGTGAGATGAGCACACACCACTAAAACGAGCATCATAAAATAATCGCTACATGTATGGTAGTAATGTCGATTCAACGACTGAATATTTAAAAACAAATTTCCCAATAATTCTAATTTGATTGTATGTATATTTCATGCCAGTAATAGACCAGGGTCCGAATCAAATAAGCATCAATCACATTTTGTATATTACAACATTCAACAGAATTATTTGTAAATTTATAATTTATAATTTATAATTGTGATTTTATGCATTTTTCCATTCATATTTATGTAAATTCTTTATTTAAAAAAAATGAGATTGAAATATATACGATTGTGAAAAACAACAACACTGCATGAAAAAAAAGAAGAAGAAATTAAAAACAAGAGAATTGTAGATTTATATATAAGTCAAATAAAATTTATTTGGCATTAAACTTTAATCATTGTTTATTCATTTCATTTTCGATTCATATTTGTTTTCTTATTTTCTCCTCATTCAGCAGATTAACTAAATACATACAGTGCTGAATAGAATTTAAGTACTACTCACTTTAAATAGCCACGGTTTTTTTTGGACACAGTGAACTTGACTTGCGATCAACATACACATTCACATCAAATTATACTCATGTGCTGTCGCTTCGCATCAGCGACTATAAAGACGTGAAACTTTGCGGTTGTCAATATCAAGATTGAAATATAAATCAGTGTAAATAACAACAACAACAGCAAAACGTACAAATAAATGAAAAAAACAATTTTGTCCATTTCAATTTGCTGAATGCGGTGTGTATCGCTCACATGGTGGTTCATTTTAGCTATCGCTATTGACACTTAACCTCTGATAATTTTTGTTATCACAATAAAGACGAACAAATAAGCTGCTGCTTATTATAAAATCCCAACCACTTGTTGTTACAAATCATCTAAATTCGTTCAGTTTTCTCTCGAGAAGTACTTCAATAAACAAGCATTAATTACAAATTTGTGAAATTTAAAGGGTTTTTTTTTCTTCATTTAATCAACTATGGCATCTGCAAAGAAATTAGGTAAAAATTAATATGTTAAATTTTGTCAATTTATTCGAATAAATACGCGCGTGACACGCATTATTGCATATAATATATTTTTTTTGCTAATAAATAAGATATTCATGAAAGAATTTATTCGTATCTATTTTATAACCCACAGTTTTCACTCATTCAATTCGATTACGGTCATCGTTTGAAAATAGGGCAATACAAACATTAGCAACGTAACATTTTTCCCTCATATGAATTTAATTAAATGATTTAAAAAAAAAAGAATGAAAAAGAGAATTCCTATCTTTTTCACTTTCATACAAAATTAATGCGACGAAACCGTTCAGCCATCATGGCTTACTACATCATAACTAAATAACACTCTGATCCTATTTTTAATTCCTTATCGCTTATTCTTATCGTCTATAGACAAACCGGATGTTCTTTTTTTTAACTCGGAAATTTTTCAACTATCAATTTTTATTTTCTAGCATTGTTGAGTGTTTCGGACAAAACAGACGTTTTAACACTTGCCAGACAATTGCAAGGACTTGGCTTTAATTTGATTGCAAGTGGTGGTACTGCAAAAGCAATTCGTGATGCTGGTTTGAAGGTAGAAGATGTATCCAGCATCACAAATGCACCTGAAATGCTTGGCGGTCGAGTAAAAACTCTTCATCCAGCTGTTCATGGTGGTATTTTGGCACGTCTTTCCCCATCCGATCAAGCTGACTTACAGCGACAAAATTACGATTATATTCAAATAGTCGTTTGCAATTTATATCCATTTGTGGATACAGTTTCGAAACCAAATGTTACTGTGGCCGACGCCATTGAAAACATTGATATTGGTGGTGTTACATTGCTTCGAGCAGCTGCAAAAAATCATGCACGTGTTACCGTTCTGTGCGATCCAAACGATTACACCAAAGTAATTGAGGAAATTAGAGCAAGTGGCGATACAAACGAAAAAACTCGCCAAAAATTGGCATTGAAAGCATTCACACACACCGCTCAATACGATGATGCTATCTCGGATTATTTCCGTAAAACATATTCAGCAAACGAATCGCAATTAACATTGCGCTATGGAATGAATCCACATCAAAAACCAGCACAATTGTTTACTACATTGGAGAAACTTCCATTGCGTGTTGTTAATGGATCGCCTGGATTTATTAACTTGTGCGATGGACTAAATGCTTGGCAATTGGTACAAGAATTGAGCGGCGCTTTGAATTTACCAGCCGCTGCAAGTTTTAGTACGTACATACAGATGAAATTAAAGCCAAATATCACATTTTGATCGTTGAATGAATTTAATTAGATTCTTTTTTCTTTTCTTTTTTTTTCATTTTCAATAGAGCATGTGTCACCAGCGGGTGTCTCGGTAAATAATAATAGAATCTCGTTAATTTAACAAAATCAATTGCATAAAATAAAAAAATAAAAATCTTTATAAAAAGGTTGCAGTTCCTCTCAGTCGAGATGAAGCTAAATTATGTCAAGTTGATGACTTATATGATAAACTAACCCCATTGGCAACAGCTTATGCTCGAGCACGTGGCGCAGATCGTATGTCATCATTCGGAGATTTTATCGCTCTTTCTGAAAAGTGTGATGAAGCTACGGCGAAGGTAATCTTTAGTTTAAATTCATATATGCGACTATCTTGAGAAGATGATGTTTTACATTTGAAATGTACGGCCTCTTAACAATAGATCATCTCACGCGAAGTATCAGATGGTATCATCGCTCCAGGCTACTCTGACGAAGCCTTAGCTCTCTTGCAAAAGAAAAAGAACGGTGCATATTGCATTTTACAGGTAAAAAATTTGAATTTGAAGTTAATCAAAATTATTGATGCCTATATATTTAAATGTTTTTCTTTCTACTTCTATTTCTTAGATTGATCCATCATACGAACCAAATCCCATTGAACGTAAAACATAAATCTAAAAAAATTGTATCCGAAATCCAAGAGAAAAATGTTTTTATTATATTTATAACAGGTAAAACATTGTTCGGTGTTACTTTAGAGCAAAAACGAAATGATGCCATCATTGATAGTACAGTATTCCAAAATGTTGTTAGTAATCATAAGACGTTGCCATTGACAGCTGTTCGTGATTTAATTGTCGCAACCATTGCCTTGAAATACACTCAGAGGTTATAGAAGACATTAACAAATTACATACTTGAAAAATAGAATATTTATCACTAAATAGAAAAAATATATTTATAGCAATTCAGTGTGCTACGCTCGTGATGGACAAGTGATTGGTATCGGTGCGGGTCAACAGTCACGAATTCACTGTACGCGTTTGGCCGGAGATAAAGCTGATAATTGGTGGTTACGCCACCACCCAATAGTTTTGAATTTAAAATTCAAGCCTGGAGTCAAACGTGCTGACATTTCAAACGCTATTGATAACTATGTATTGGGAACAATTGGAAAAGATTTACCATTGGCACAATTCGAAGCACTATTTGACGAAGTTCCAGCATTATTGACAGATGACCAACGTAAAGAATGGGCTTCAAAATTGTCTGGCGTTGCATTGGCATCGGATGCATTCTTTCCATTCAGAGATAACATCGATCGCGCTAAATTGGTAATTATTCGGTGAAAAATAAAAAAATATTTCAAACATTTCTGATATTTTCACATTTTATTATTACAGAGTGGCGTTACCTTTATCGGCAGCCCATCGGGTTCAACAAACGATGCTGGCGTCGTAGCAGCATGTAATGAACACGGAATTGTTTTGGCACACACCAATTTGAGATTGTTCCATCATTAAGACATTTTTAATAAAAAGAAGCTCAATTCTAAAAATTAGAATTTTTACGCATTTTTATGCTTTTTTATTGCCATTTAAGAATATGTGTTTGCAAAAACCGTTGATTAATAAATCCATCTGATTTTTAAAGCAAAACTCAATTGTTCACAAAGTATTCCTGTATGTAAATGAATCTTTTCTCATAATGAATATGCGATTAATAGTGAAAAAAAAAATGAAACAAATAATAAACAACAATGACGTTGTCCGTGTTTTTGTGATCGTTCTTGAACGTATACTTATGAAACTAGATCAATAGAAGCTTATCAATAAAGTGGCTGATAGAGTTGTTTGTATATACAACTGTATAGCTCGAATAGTAGCAAATTCAATGCTTTCCAACGCCAGTAAGACGCTGAATGTTCTTGATCAAATGATCATTGTATTCTTTGTAATTGATCGGTGTAGCAGATTGAACTGAAATCTTGTTGCGTTGGCTATCGCCATATGTTTCAACCTTCGTGCGCAACTTAAACATAAACGATCGGAAATGTTGAGACTGAAGATAAGTATTCAATTCGGTTTGGTCACGTTCCATCATGTTTCCGATTTCATCAGAGGTTTTGCCTAAACAAATACATTGATTTTGTAAAAAACAAAGAAAATCATTCGATTTATTCCAGTGATGGTTTTTTCCTATCTGAATAGCGCTAGCTATTCGCAGCGT